GTCGGGAGGAGGAGGAGGAGAAGAAGGATGAGGATGAGGAGGAGGAAGATGAACAGGAGGAGGAGGAGGGCGGAGGGAGGAGACGAGAGTGTATCGGGGTACAGTGGCACCCATCCTCTTCCTCCCCTCGCGCAGCAGGATGTGGCACGACTCCCACGACCTCAGGGGGTACCGCTCGGTCGTGATCTGCCGCCGCTGCGGCCTATGGACCAAGGACCCCCCGAACAAGTTTCGCCCCCCCCCCCGCTCCCGCACCCTTTCACCCCTCGCAGTCTCCCGTCTCATCCTGCGTTCCCCCCACTTCTGTTGCCCCTTGCACCCTGCGTCCCACTCACCCTCCATCCTCCTCGTGTCCCTGCTCGTCCCATCCCCCTCCCCAGCCCGTCCCTACTCGGCGCCCCCTTTCGTCATCCTGGCTTATCTTCCTCCAACAATGAAGGAGGCGTACAAACGGGTGATGGCCGCTGTCTGCACTAATATACCCAAGTCGAACTACTACCAGAACGCCATCTTGGCGGCGCGCTAAGGAGCGGGCGCGGCGCTCAAGGAGAGGGGTGGGGGGGGGGGGGCTATCTGTGCCTCTGAGTGTTTGGGAGTGGGTCTGGACGGTCTGGCCGCCTGGCCCCCTCCTGGAAGGTCAGACGCCCCCCCCCCCGCCCCCCTCTCCTCGCCGTCCGCGGCGCACCCCCCCTTTGCGCGCCGCCGACCTCTCCCGCCTCGCTGCCGGCGCGTTCCCTCGGAGGGTCGACGACACCGATGCTGCGTTCGACGGCCCAGACCGCAGGTCGGACCCCCGCGGCCCTCGCGCGCAACGTGCTGTCCTGGTCCCGCACGCCCCAGCCGTGCAGTTGATGCTGGAGGATGGCGATGCATGCCCCGAAGGCGACGACCACGACGGGCGCCCGTGAGCCCGCCCGCATCGGCCGCCGGCAGTCGGATCTCAGCCGCGTCTTCCTCCGTATCCCCGTCCTACTCCTCCTCCTGGTGTGCGTCGCTCGGGCCCCTCCTCAGGACTCACCCCCCTCCTCCTCCTCCTCGTCATCCAGGGCGCCCGACGTAGGACAGCCCGCCGATCCGACCCCCGCGTCGTGTGCGCTCAGTCGGGCAGGTGTCGTGGATTCGTCCGCCCGCCACTCGACAAAGCAGCTGGGGGTGGCGGAGTTAGCAGAACGCCGTGCGACCAGTGAGCAGCTTGTGGGTCCTGCGCTACACTGGCCGCGCTGTACATACCATTCGTATGCACGGCATGGGTGACACCCTCCGCCCACCCAGTTCACAATCAGGCGCGTCGCCGGCGCAGCTTTCACGCACGAACCAATGTATATCATCTTGCAGTGTCCGGCGACATCATCAGCAGCATCATCATCCTCATCATTGTCATCATCAGCGTCGGCATAACCACCACCATCAACATGCACATCATTGGCATCTGCACACCCTTTCCATCATCATCGTCGCCATCGGCATCACCACCAAGTGGTACACTCGGGAGCTACACCCGCGTTGCGCACTTGGGAGATACTCCCGAGTTGCACACACCCCACATCCCAGAGTTGCACGTCCCTCCATTCGGTATCCACTGCCAGATAATGTCAGCAATCACTCGGGAGCTGCTCCCGAGTTGCACACTCGGGAACTACTCCCGAGTTGTACCCCCCCGCATTCGGGAGATACTCCCGAGCTGCACCCCCCCCCATTCGGGAGCTACTCCCGAGTTGCACAACCCCTGTTTGGGAGCCACTCCCGCGTTGCACTTTCGGGAACTACTCCCGAATGGTACACCCCCCATTCGGGAGCTACTCCCGAGCTGTGCACCCCGTTCGGGAGCTACTCCCGAGTTGCGCATCCTCATTCGGGAGTTACTCCCGAGTTGCACGTTCGGGAGCTACTCCCGAATGGTACACCCCCATTCGGGAGCTACTCCCGAGCTGTGCACCCCGTTCGGGAGCTACTCCCGAGTTGCGCATCCTCATTCGGGAGTTACTCCCGAGTTGCACGTTCGGGAGCTACTCCCGAATGATACACACCCCATTCGGGAGCTACTCCCGAGCTGTGCACCCTCATTCGGGAGTTACTCCCGAGTTGTGCACCCCCATTCGGGAGTTACTCCCGAGTTGCACGGTCGGGAGCTACTCCCGAATGGTACATACACATTCGGGAGCTACTCCCGAGCTGTGCACCCCCCATTCGGGAGCTACTCCCGAGCTGCGTACCCCCAGTCGGGAGTTACTCCCGAGTTGCACGTTCGGGATCTACTCCCGAGTGGGTCACGCCACATTCGGGAGCTACTCCCGAGTCGCACACCCACTTTCGGGAGCTACTCCCGAGGTGCATACATCACCCATTCAGGAGCTATACCCGAGCTGCACGTTCGGGAGATACCCCCGAATGATGCAACACACATTCGGGAGCTACTCCCGAGTTGCACACACACACAGACACACACACACACACAACACACATTCGGGCTCCAAGAGGAGCGCGCCAGGTCTCATCGAACACGCCGTTTCGATGAGACCTCGCGCGCCCCTCTCGGAGCCTGTTTGGAGCCGTCTCGGAGCTCTCTGGCGGCCTCGTTGGAGCTCCAAGAGGGGCTCGCGAGGGGGCCAGCAGAGGGTGTGAGGGTCATCGAGAGGTCTTCTACTGGGCTGACACACTCGGGAGGAACTCCCGAGTTGCGCGCATCACACTCGGGAGCTATGCCCGAGTTGCGCACTCCCACTCAGGGGTATCGGTCACTCCGCTTCATCATCAGCGTCATCACCGTCATCATCCTCGCGCCATCACCCCTCTTCCCCCGCCCCGCGGGCGGTGTCATTCACCCGCGCGCCGCCCGCCCAACCACCCCCCACCTCCCCCGTCCGCGGCGCCTCCATGCCGCTCTGTCGTCGGCTGTCCTGCGGCGGCCGATGGGGGTGGAGAGACCTCGGGAGGGTCGGGTCGAGCCGACTCGCTACGGTCAGCAACCCCCCCCCCCCCCCCCCGGTGCGCACACACACACACACCACACACACACGCACAACACACACACACACAGCCCCCCACCCCCCCCCCCCCCCCCTCGAGGTGCAAACTCAGGCCCCCCCCCCCCGAGCGTGCACACACAGCTCCCCCGATCCCCCCGTTGCTGTAGGGCTGTAGCGCCCTCGCCGGATCAGGGGCTGACCGTAGCTAGTCGGCTCGACCCGACCCTCGCTTGACTTCAACGCCCCTCGCCCTCCGACCCCGACCACCACTTCCCGCTGGCGTCGCAGCATGGTGGAGGGTCGCCTTGCTGTAGGGCTGTAGCGCCCTCGCCGGATCAGGGGCTGACCGTAGCTAGTCGGCTCACCCGACCCTCGCTTGACTTCAACGCCCCTCGCCCTCCGACCCCGACCACCACTTCCCGCTGGCGTCGCAGCATGGTGGAGGGTCGCCTGAACATGCCCCAACATAATCATTCCATACGCCCTTGGTATGATTCTATGGGGAGCCCTCATGGGTCCCTCTCGGAGCCCTGTCGGCGCCCTGTCGGGACCCTCTTGGGGCGGCCTCCGACCCGTTCCTGGTGTTCCTTCTCTGGAAGCTGGCCAGCTCAAAACCACCCACGCCCACATGGCTGGTTGGATTGACCCCTGCCTGTCCCGCGTGTGAATCCAGCCGCGCGTGTTTGCATAGTCCTGGTGCACTCTGGATGCGAGCCGTGGCGTCCTCGACCCCTCCCCCCCCATCACCCGCCCACACCCGTCCGTGTTGCCGTCTGCCGCTCACTGCAGCTGTTCGCATTTACGCGTCGTTTCTGTGATTGCACGCTGGTGCCGTCCCCGTGCGGGGCGAGCCAGACCAGCCATGCCCGTGTTCCCGTCGTACGTCCCTGGCGCCCGCGACGCACGGTCGCGCCCCAGGACCTGTCGGTCCTTGGCTGACGCCTCCCAGTGGGTGCCCGACGCGCTGGACCGCGCAGCCTCCATTGTCGGCCATGATGCCGTGGCAGCGCAGCTGACTAACCGCGCGATCACCACCAGCAGTTGCTTCGGAGGCGTGGGCACCGACGCTGTTGCTGGGACCATCATCTCAGCTGGCATCTCCGAGTTCCTGGTTGCCACTATCCCGTCTGATGGCGCGCGCCACAGGGCCCTCACGCCCCTCAGGTTTGTCCCTCTCTGGTCCATTGAGATAAACACCCAGTGCCAACTGGAACAGCTGGCCTCGCCATCGCCGCCTCGCCACATGTTCAAAGACATGATGGAGTTCATTCAGCCAGACATGCGGCGCGCGTGTGGGCTCGACGGAGGCGCGCCCCTCGCGTCCACCCCTGCAGGAGGTAGGTGGAGGATGCGGAGGCGGAGGGGGGTCGAACAGGATGACGATGCGGGGCATGATGATCAGGGGGCGGAGGCGGAGGCGCACGATAACGTGGGTCCTGGCCCGTATTGGAGCCATCTTGCGGCCACTGAGAACGCGCGCTGGGCTCGCCGCATCTCGGCACGGGAAGGCTGGCACACGGTTGGGGTAGGAGGAGGAGGAGGAGGAGGAGGAGGAGGAGGAGGAGGAAGACGAGGAGGAGGGTGAGGAGGACGCTGGCCGTTCCCTCTCTGACTACCCCGCCCCCCGCGCCAGGCACGGAGCTCGCGCCGGACGTGCTGGCCGACATGATCCCCCGGAGCGGGGCGATCACCACTGGCATGTGCATCCGGACTCCTAGTTCCCCCTCCCCCTCCGCGCCCCCCCCCCCCCCCCCTCCTCTTACCGCCCCCCCCCCCCTGTCTCCGGGCCTCCTAGATGGGGTCGGAGTGGATGGGGTCGGGGGATCGCGCCGCATCGCCGATGCATCGGCGATGCATCGCCGATGCATCGGCGATGTGGAGCCCGATTGCGTCCACGCCTGCGTCGAGGGTGCACCGTCGACGCCGCCGATGCATGGCCAGTGCGTCGCCGATGCATCGCCGATGCGTCGTTGGTACATCGCCAATGTATCGGCGGCTCCACTGTCACCGCCCCCCGCCCCCTCCCCGCCCGAGGACCAGCTCGTGTGCCCAGACAGCGCGGGCCGACGTGCACTCGGCAGGGAGCCCGTGCAAGGACCACGCCATCACGGGCAAGATGGAGAGGTGGAGCGGCAAATACGCCAAAGTATTCTTTGCTTGGGTTGCACAGCGCAGGACCTTGAGGGAACCCGTGTGGGTCCACGAGAACGTCATTCAGTTCGGCTCGTTCCAACTACTGGCCATGCTTGGGGACCTATACGTGGTCGTCAGGGTGACCATCAACCCTCACCGCCAGGGGTGGGCATCGCATCGCGAGAGGCAGTACTGCATCGGGGTCCTCAAAGCGTGGGTCTACCCGCTCTTGGTCGACGCCGGCGTGGATCCTCTCACGGAGAACCTCTGCGACCGCGTCAAGGCCGAGTTGGACGTGGAGGACACGCTGAGGTCACTGTTCCAGCGGAGCTGCGCGTTCAGCTGGACTGAGTATCGCGTGGCGACGCCGACGGAGATCCACCAGCAGTGGATGTTCCTTGCTGGTCGCAAGCTGGTGCGTGATAGGACGACCGCTCGCGTGGATCGCCAGGACGACCCATGGGGCGACGCCGAGACCAGCGTGCTGTCGCTCCTGACTCCAGCTGAGCGTGGCCGCTTAGCTCTCTGCAGTTGCAGCGATACTGAGGCGGTCGACACGAACCAGAACCCCGCGCAGAGGAAGGGGTTCCACTCCAAGAACGGCGTGCTCCACACCCTCATCGCGAACACCGGCATCGTGGTCAGCAAGCGGCACAACTACGTCTTGCACGGCAAGGACCTGCTGCAGGCCATGGGGTTCCCTATCAGCCACAGCGCCGTCGTGGCTTCGGGAGGCGCCAGGTGCTCGTTCAGTCACGGAGTCCGCAGCGCGAAGAAGCGGACCAACCGCTCGATGCGCATGCAGGCTGGCAACGCCATGCACGTGAGTGCAATCGGGGCGGTGCACCTTTTCTTGGCGTTGAAGTTCAGGGAGTTGGGGCGGCGTCCGCCAGTGAAGAAGCCCCGCTCCAAATTCGCGCAGGCTGCGTTTCAGCTGCGGCAGCGCGGCTCGGCGTCGTAGAGGGCGTGGTCGCTAGGACCTCGTCGACCGACGCCGATTGCCGGGGCCGCGCGGGTCGGTCGCTGGCAGTTCGGCAAGGCCGCGGCCCCTGCGCGACGCCGCGTCGCGCATGAGGGCGTGGGCTCGCGGGCCTGAAAGGTTTGCAGTTGCGGAGGCTGTAGGTTGCACTATCGCTTCGCCATTGCAGACCGCCGCGGCAGCGTGTCAGGGCAGAACTGCCGCCCTCGGGGCCCTCTCCTCTGTTCTCCTTCTCCTCCTCCTCCACCCCGCCCTCCTCCTCGCAAAAGGGGGGGGCGAACCTCCTCCTCCTCCTCGCCCTCCCCCGTCTCACCCTCCCTCCCTCTCCTCCTGCTTCGAGGTGTGGTGCTATGCCGCGCCGTGCCGTCGTGCCGCGCCGCGCCGTGCCCGGGGGCCCCGACCCCCCCCCCCCCCCCCCCCCCCCCCCCCCCCCACCCCCGAGCGTGCAAACACAGCCCCCTCCGAGCGCACAAACACAGCCCCCCACCCCGATCGCACAAACACAGCCCCCCCCCCCGAGCGTTATATAACCAACACAGCCCCCTGAAGGCCCCCCCCCCCGAGCCCCCCGTCGCTGTAGGGCTGTAGCGCCCTCGTCGGATCAGGGGCTGACCGTAGCTAGTCGGCTCGACCCGACCCTCGCTTGACTTCAACGCCCCTCGCCCTCCGACCCCGACCCCCGCTTGCCGCTGGCGTCGCAGCATGGTCGTGGGCAGCCCCCGTGGTCCGAGCCCGGATCACCGTCTCAGGGGGAAGCAGACGCCACCTGGCGCGCGCAAGAGGGCCAGGGGCGTCTCGAGCATCTCGGCGTGGGACCCGAACTGCCTGTCGGCGCAGGACAGGTTCCCCGATCTGGTGGGGCGCGAGCTCGTCGACAAGATCCGCGAGGTCTGCGTGCTGCACACCGGCCTGGTGGCCCCGTTCTTCGATCCAGAGACCAAGCGCAGGCTCCTGGTCCGCCGCGAGCTCAACGATCGGAACCAGGCGGGCACGAGGAGGCGGTATAAGGAGCTCATCACGGCCAGCGACGGCAGCCAACTGGAGGAGGGGTAGGAGGAGGACGAGGAGGAGGACGAGGAGGAGGAGGAGGAGGAGGAGGAGGAGGAGGGGGAGGAGGAGGAGGAGGAGGTGGAGGAGGAGGAGGAAGAGGAGGAAGGAGGAAGATGAGGAGGAGGAGGAGTGAGAGTTTGCTGGGATTGATGCGCAACATGGCCCTAACCACGTTGAAACATGGTTGGAGAGGAGGAGGAGTCGGAGGGGGATGGGGGGGGAGAAGGAGGAGTAGGAAGGATGATGAGGAGGACGGACGAGGAGCAGGAGGATGCTCTATGCCGTCGCCAGCGTCGTCCGTCGTCGTCGTCTTCAGCGGCGGCGGCCGCCGCGTCCCAGTCCTGGCCCTTGTTGCCGCCCGTCGGCCGCTCGCCTGGGGGGGGGGCGAGAGAGCGGGAGGATGAGGGGGAGGAGGGGGCGGAGGGCGAGGAGGGAAGGGGGAAGAGAGACGGGGGAGGGAGCAGCGGAGCCGGGGTGGAGAGAGGAGCAGCAGGATGAGCCCGCGCCCCCATCCTCGGGGGCACCGATAGCGGGGGATAGGCATAAGGGGGGGGCGCATCGATCCCCAATGGCCCATTGATCGCCGATAGGGGCCCGATAGCCCCAACCCGCCCAGGAATGCGCGGATTCACTATCGGGGGCCTATCGCCGATCTATCGGCGATGTTTCGCCGATTCCAGGCCGATGCATCCCCCTTATGCCAGTCCCCCCCCTATCGTTGCCCCTCATGTCCTGTCAGGTCCACGGGATCCGCGTCGGCGCCAGGTCGGAGATCATCGTTCAGCCCGTATCATCGGGATCGCTGCACAGGAAGGTGGTCGGGGGGGCCCACTTGGTGGAGGGCGCGTACGACGCGTGGGACGAATGCGGCGAGACGAATACCCAAGTGAAGCTGAGCATCGAGGCAGGGCTCCCCGGCGTCACGGAGATCGACGCCCGGTCCCCCCCCGACATTGTGAGGTGGTTCAAGGGCGAGGGCAACTTCCTCAACGATACGGTGTCGAAGACGTCCTTCATGGAAGGCTACAACATCGTGGACGATATCACCAAGAACTGGAAGGCGAGCAGGTCGGCCCCTGCGCAGCAGCAGGAGCGGACGTCTGCCGCGGCCGCGGCGGAGACCGAGGTGGAGGGCGGAGCGGCGGGCGCCTGTGCCACGGATGCTCGAGTCGATCATCAGCTCGTCGTCTTCGGAGGAGGTCTGGGCACGGAGCTGGTCCAGTTGGCGCATGCCGAGGTGGGGTCTGGCCAGGACGCCCATGCCCAGGCTTGGCAGAGGAGGCTGGCTGCGCCGATGGCGGCGGCGCCGTCGGCTAGCGCGGCCGGCAAAGGAGCGGCGTCGTCGTCGGCTGGCCCTGGCTACGAGAGGGCGTTCCATGACTGGATCAACCGCCACCACCCTGGCCTCTTCCCGAAGTTCTCCAGCTTTGACAATTGCAGGAAGGCGAAGAACAAGATCGCCAGGCTGGGCCAGCTGGACGGCACCAAAGGTTTGTGGAAGAGGTTTACGGCAGACATGGACGCCAATTGCTGCTACTCGGACCCCAAGATCAACAACGCCAACGTATGGCACAACATCGAGGCGATCACGGCGACGTTCTGCAAACCCGACCTTGTCGCCAAGTATGACGGCCTCGATCGTTTCGCGCTCGAGGTCGGGCAGCGGCAATGGCCGAACGTGCGGGGCGGGGTGGGGGAGGGCCCTCCCCCCACCCCGCCCCTCCCCCACCCTCCCACCCCTCGCCCACCCCTCCCCTGGAGGGGTGGACTAGTCGACGAGGGGAGGGGGGTGATGGGGGGGAGAAGGTGTCGGCGGATGGGGGAGGGAGGAAGAGCGCGCACGTGGAGGGGGAGGAAGGAGACGAGGAGGGATGGGGTGTGGGATCCCGGGGATGACGGTTATGCTCCCCCTAGGTCGCCAAGTTTGCCGTGCCTCGCTCCGACGGCATCCCGTGGCTGCTGCAGGACACCAAGGACGCCATCAAAGTGAAGGCCTTGATGGTCCACGTCAAGGGGTCCAAGAGGATCGCGGCCGCCAAGCGGAGCTTGTTTGTGGACCAGGTTTCCAACCCTGCCCCTGCCAGTGGCGGTCGCGCCTGTGCCGCAGAGGCCGGAGAGGCAGACGCAGCGGGCGGCAAGAAGAGACGCAGGGTGCCCGGTCGCCCCACCTATCCTGCGGCTAAGCAACTGGCCGCACCGAGGGCAGCCGACGACCACGTGCCAGATGAGGCTACGCCCGTCGCAGTGGACATCATGAACTCCATCGAGTCCGTCGTGGCCGAGTTCGACCGCGCGGTCGACTCGGCGGTGCTGCAGGCCCTGCATCTGTTCATCGAGTATGGGCTGAGCAAGTCCGTGGACCTCCCTGCCAACAAGTTCGGTGTTGGGCCACTCAAGAGGTTCACGCTCTGCCACAAGGTGCGCAAGCACATCATGAAGCTGCTGCGCGCCGCCCACGTGGACGCCAACCTCGCCGAGGGCGCGCAGCCCCCCGCCGCGGGCGACTTCAGCAGCGGTGATGAGGACGAGGCCCCCCTGGCACCCCCGGCCAAGATTGCCAAGACGAAGGAAGAGCAGCTGAAAGCGGCGTCCGTCGCAGCAGAGGCGATGCACGCAGCTCTCGCGACCGCGAGCACGCGAGGCTGGCACCAGCCGTCGATGATTGCCTTGATCGAGCTCATGTCCAAGCCAGAGGCTGCCAAGACCGTGGGGGCGGTCACTGCTCTCCAGACAGCGTGCGCGGCTGACCTGTTCATGCAGCGGCACCAGGCAGTGAAGAGCGGGAAGTGCGGAGTGGACCCTACGTTCAAGATGTTCAAGCGCGCGAACGTCCAGTTCGCGAAGATGGTGTCATCGCTGGCATCGACGGGGGTGTCGGATGCTTTCGCCGACCCGACCCCGGCGGCGTGGGTCATCAAAGCCGCCCTGGCCTCTGTATGGCAGCATTCCGACAACGGCGCCATGCGCGCAGCCCGCCTTGTGTGGGACGTGCTGCACGCCACCGACGCCAAGCCCGACGACGACGGAGGACCCCCGCATGCCGCCCAGGCGGCGGGGTCGGCGGGCCAGACTTCCGATTCCCCGGACTCCACCTCGGCGACCTCGGCGGCAGGGTCGGCGGGCCAGCTTGCGGATGTGTTCAAGGCGCATGCGTCGCTGGCGACTCTGGGCACCGTCTGGGCGTCCGTGGCCGAGCTGGAGCTATGCCTTACGGCCCGCGCCCACATGGTGATCGCAATGCTCATCGAGGCATCTGAGTTGTGCGTGGACACGGCGACCCTTGCGGGCTGCATGGATAAGGCGTCCCAGGATGTGAGGCAGTACTTGGCGAGGTGCGTGAAATGCGCTTGCCATTACATCGAGGAGGCTGGTGCCTTTGACAGCGCACACCACGACAAGTCCACCCTCGAGGCGGCGCGGCTGAAGTTCGCGACCGCGGCGAATTCGACCGAGGATGATGCCATCGCCCCTCTGAAGTCACAGGCGCATTGGGATTGTCTATTCCAGTCCAAGGTGGAAGAGTTCAAGAAGTGGAGCGACGCTGAGTTGCAGCGCCAGGTCCTGGAGGTGGCCGGCGACGCCGCGGCCCCGGCGGCCACGACGACCTCGGACAGGGATGAGCTCATCATAGCTGCAGCCTCGGCGTGGGTGAACCAGGAGAAGGCCAAGAAGGCGGAGGTCGAGGCGCAGCGGGCGCGCACTTTCAGATCCCTTGTCCTCATGGAGATCGGGAACGTGTCCGAGACGCGGCCGCCCCCCCTCGATGGCGATCAGGCTGCGCCCACCTCGTTCGAGTACGGGTCGTACGCCCCGCTGTCTGAGTACACCAAGGTCTTCAACCTGGGTGCCAGGTGGGCTGCGAAGGAGATCGCGTCTGCAGTGCATGCCGAGATCTGCCGCGCCCAGCGTGCCCAGCTCGCGCCTGGCGGGGCCAAGGCGCTGGCCCCCCTGGCCTACAAGATGGACATCATCCAGATGTCTCCCGCCGACGGCGACGACGGCCAGGTGCTCCCCAAGAACAAGCTGTACGCGCAGAAGCTGCCGAGTGATTGGAGTCTGCGCCTGTGCGCGAGGTCCGTGACCCTGTCGAGCTGCCCGTTGAGTCTGAGGTCCATGGCGGCGATTGGCGACTTCGAGGTTCCTGGCGCCGGCGGCCACAACGTGAAGTTCTACATGAGCATGGTGCCCGACAAGCGCGACGTGAAGCCCACCGACGATGAGTGCAGCATCGGCTGGATGATCCCGGTCGTGGCGCCTGGCTCCGAGAAGGAGCCTGTCCTCGGGGTGGAGCGCGAGACGAAGCAGCTCGTGGTGGACGGCGTGACGGTCGAGTACCAGGAGGTGCGGCTGGTGCCCGCCCACAAGGACGGCCGCGAGCTCGGCTCGCCCGGGGCCAACGAGTGGGTGGAGCTCACGCGCCCCATGTTCGACGAGGACCCTCGGGGAAGGAACGGGGGGGATGGGGGATGAGGGAGGGGTGGGGAAGGAGGGTGGAGGGAGGAAGGAGGAAGGGGGAGGAGGGATGAGGGAGGAAGGAAACGCGCGCCTCAGAGGGAAGAGGGAGCAGGGGGAAGGAGACGCGCGCCTCAGATGGAGGCGGAAGGGGGGGAGGGGAGGGAGGAGGGTGGGGGAGGGAGAGGAGGGAGTGAGGGAGGAGGGAGGAGGGAGGGACGGACGACGAATACGACGACGACACGACGACGACGACCGTCGACGACGACGCCGACCATCGCCGTCGCCGTCGACGACGACGACGACCGCCGCTCGGCCCCCTCCCAAAGCTTCCACCCCCCGCTCGCCCCGCTCACCGCTCCGCGCCCCTTCCGCCGGAGGAGAAGGTGTTCTGGGCTGCGGACCAGAAGCGGAAGGGCGCCGCGGCGGCCGTCCGCGAGGCCGCGGCGAAGGCCACCCCCCAGCAGAAGGCCAAGGAGGCGACGGCCGCTGCTGTGGCAGCGGCATCCAAGCACCTCATGTCGTGAGTCGTCGGTCGGACCTCCCCCGATCCACCTCCAGCCTACAGCCAAGACGCTGAAATAAGGAACAGTTTGGGTTCGGAACGGGCTCGATGTTCCTTAGGTTCCCCAGTGCTGGGGCACGGAGGCGCTTACAAGACCAAGAAGAGGCTTCGGCTTCGTTCCTTATTTCGCTTTCCTTCTTTCTGCGGCCCGACGGCCCGACTGTACTCGGTACTCGGCGCTCGCCTCGTCATCGTCCTCCTCCTCCTCCTCCCCCTCCTCCTCCTCCTCCTCCTCCTCCTCCTCCTCGTCCTCCTCCTCCTCGCCCTCCTTATCCTGCTCGCGGGGCGCGTCGGGCGAACGTTTTCGGCCAGGTAGGCCATGCGCCCCGTCTTCCAGCGTTTTGTGCACTCTATCTGCGGGGGGGTCACGTGGACTCATCCGCCCGCCCCCCCCCATGAGAGTCTCTCATGACGAGAGATGCTGGAGTCCTGGGGGGGCAGCAGGCCGGCGACGCGGCTAGGCCAAGTGGGTGCTTGCGGTTTGGCACGCCACTGGCATGCACATAGCCTGCGGTCGCCCCCCCCCCCACCCTGAGCCCGAGCTGTTGGCCCGCGGCGGAAGCCCATTCAAGCTCCGCGCCAGCCAGCGGCAGCGTGAAACTGGGCAGCGACGACAGCGGCCACGACGACGGACCCCGCCGCAGGCCTTCAAGGTTGAATCGCGTCCCAAGGTCCCAGGTCTCAGGACCCACGTTGAACGATCCGTCGTTTCGGAAACGGCCGATCGTTCGAGGTTGAGCCATCCCCGCGGTGTCAGGGACCAACGCCAAGGTTGGCCCTTCGGCGGCCCTCCAGCGTACGCCGGGACCTCAGACCTCCTCTGCCGTCGTCGTCGCCGTCGTCCTGGGGGAGGCGGAGGAGTGGAGGATTTCGAGTATGATGTGGTGTGTGCGTGTGCGTGAGCGTTGTGTTTGAGTGTGTGTAGCGTGCACTGGAGGAGGAGTTGGGGGACCCCCTCGCCCTCGTCGTCGCCTCCTCCCCCTCGCACCTCAGAGAGAGGGAGGAGACCCGCAGGGTCGGCGCGACGCGGACCCCTCCTTTGCCGCCGTCGTCGTCGTCGTCCTGGGGGAGGCGGAGGAGTGGAGGATTTCGAGTCTGAGTATGATGTGGTGCGTGCGTGTGCGTGTGCGTTGTGTTTGCGTGCGTGCTGCATTGGAGGAGGAGTTGGGGGATCCCCTCGCCCTCGTCGTCGCCTCCTCCTCCTCCTCCTCCTCTTCCTCCTCCCCCTCCTCCTCCCCCCCCATCCTCCTCCTCGTCCTCCGCCGCCTCTTCCCCAGAGAGTGCGTTTGCGGTGCCGTGACGCGCCGCTCCGTCGTGCCGCAGTGCGCCCTCCTCCTCCTCCTCCTCCCCCCCCCCGCGGGCGGTGGGCGGTGGGCGCCTCCATCGCGGCGGCCATCGCCGAGGCGCGGAGGGGGAAGGGGGGTGGCCGAGGTGGGAGGAGGGGGAGGAGGAGGAGGAGGAGGAGGAGGAAGAGGAGGAAGAGGAGGCAAAGGAGGCAGAGGAGGAAGAGGAGGAGGAGGAGGAGGAGGAGGAGGAGGAGGAGGAGGAGGAGGAGGAGAGGAGGAGGAAGAGGAGGAGGTCTGCGAACTACGAGCCCCGGGGCCGCCAAAAACTGCCCCCCCTCCCCTCCCCGGCGACGGCGGCGGAGGCGGGGGCGGAGGTGCGGGAGCGGCCGCTCGCGAGCGCGGTGCGGCGTCGGGGCGGGGGCGTCGGGGCGCGCGCTCGCCGCTGGCGCCCGCTCGCTCTCTTCCGCCGCCCTCGCGCGCTCCCGAGGAAGAGGAGGCCACCCCCCCCGCCGCTCGGGCCCCGAAGGCGCCTTCGCCCCCCCCCCCCCCCCGATTTCAAAATTCAAAATCCGATCAACTCACATCCAAATCCCAATCACGTTTAAATACCGAATCTTCAGATTCTGAATTCCAGATCCTCGGATACTGAATATCGTAATTCAAAATCGGAGCGAAATGACTTCGAAATCGATCCTCGTTTTGTGGGGGGGGGGGGGGGCATCTTATGGTGCAGTCTTCCACGTCCCCAAAGCATGTGCGTTCCTCTGACGTTTGGTCGGGTTTCTCAGCAGGGGGCGACCCACGCGCGGACGCTTGTGAACAGCACAGGTAGACGTCAGTCAAAGAACGAGTTGCACCAATCTTCTACGACAGACGAGTCGGCAAGCGTCCGAATGTAGGAGGTGGAGGAGAAAGGCGGAGCCGTATGGATACCGATGCGACCTGATTTGGTCTTTCAGGGGGGTTGCGGTGGGAAGGGGCTTAAGCGTGGTTCATGTCTCATGTGTGCCGCACTCTGTTTCATACGTCCACCCTGGAGGGCGAAGACGCAGCACATCATGCGTGTCTCATAGCCCGTGCCTGTTAGCTATACAGTGTTTGTGCGGTTTATTGCGAAGGCCTTGCGGCCGGCGCCGCCGACCCTGAGGTTGGGGAGGAGGGCGCGGAACATGAGGAGGAAGATGAGGAGGTGGACAGGAGGAAGAGGTGGATGCGGAGGAGTAGGAGCACAGGGGGGGAATGAATAGGAGGAGAGTGAGGCGAGCAGGGTCGCATGTACAGGTGGGGGGTGGGCGCGAAGGAAGGGCAGGGGCGAGTAGAGCGCGGCGATCATGAGGAGGAGAAGGAGGAAGATAATGGCGAGGATGTTGACGATGTTGACGACGACGCCGGTTGCCTAGCAGGACCATTCGGGCCGTCTTGGAGCCTTCCTGGGGCGACTTCTGGGCTTCGTTCGCTGTTTCGAAGCTCGGTTCGGCATCAATTGCGCATTTGGGAGGCCACGGAGTGTAGATTTGGAGGGCGCTGGGGCGGGGGGGACCTGGGCTGGGGCTGGGGCTGACTGGGTCCGGGGTTGGGCGGGAGCTGGCGGGGCCGGCCGGGACTTGGGCCGGGGCCGGGCCGCTGAGACTCGGGCTGGGGCCGGGGCCGGAAGCGGCCGAGACCGGAGCCGCGGCGGAACCGGAGCCGTGGCTGGGGCCGGGGCCGGGGCCGGGGCCGGGGCTGGGTTATAACTGCGGTCGGGGCCGGGGCTGGGGCCGGAAACGGGCATCGACGGGGTGGGGGGGGCTGAGCCTGAAGCAAGCCCGGGGTGGGGGTGCGCGGAAATCACGCAAGTCGAAAGGCACTTGCGCGCTAGCATTCGCTTGAAGAGGGGCGAGGGGGGGGGGGGGGGGGGGGGCGAACGCGCATGCAGTAAACTTGCCTGAATCCCCCCCCAAAAAAACAGGCTCTTATTGGAGCCGTGAGCTGGGGCCCGCGCTGGGACCAGCCGCAGCCAGGGCCGGGGCTGCAGGGGCCGGGGGCCAGAAGCGGCGGGATCGGGCCATGGGCTTCCGATCAGCGCTAATATAGCGAACCATCGCTAATTAAGGAGGACGCGGAGATGAACATCTATTAATTACTGGTGCCAGCCTTAATTAGCAAGTACCCAGCGCTAAATGTAATGAGTGCGCGCTAATTCGCACGCGTGCGCGCTAATCATAGCCTCTTGAATTAGCGAGTCGCACGCGTCAATTAGCGCGTGCGCTTTACTGCGGACGGCGTCGCGCGGGATGCGCAGCGCTAGTGGGATCGGGTCAGAGCCTTTGATCTATAAACTAGTTCGCGTATGCGTACAACGTGCCACAAATCCAGCAGTAGGAAATAACACCAATAAGTTAAGAGAAGGAGAGAGAGAGAGAGAGAGAGAGAGAGAGAGAGAGAGAGAGAGAGAGTTATCACGAGAGAGAACTATCAAGAGCTGAATATAACAAACGAGAGAGAAAGAGAGGAACAACAAAAAACAAGAGGGAGGATAATCCGCAGCCGCCTTCGCAGGCGACTCTTCGTTTTGTGTTTTTTCGCAACAGCGCTACAACGGGCGAACCAGAGGTTCCATGCGGAACCTGTCCAATGCATTGGCAGAGAAGGGCTTTGTGTTCATCGGGGCGCCGCGCCTCCGTGAGATCCTGCCGGCGGTCCCTCCAAAATCTTTGTCGCGGTAAGTCGAATTAGTTTTCGGGTCAGATTCGTCGGCGAGGTGCACGACAAGATGCAATTTCGGTTTGCACCTGAAAAATACAGGGTACCGCTGTGCGAGTACGTCGTAAAGGAACACGAAGCGCTTGCCGTTCGACGACATGGCGCCCCTCCTTGAAATAACAATTGTCCGCGAAACCTCGTAACAGTTGTGGTCAGCAGTTTGCGGCATTCCTCCCACACCCACCCCTCCAGAGACCTGCGCGCGCCAGCCATGGCCTTGAATTTATGGGCCCTTCTGCGGCTTTCCTTTTTGATCATGAGGGGCGTCAGCTTGTGGAGCCTGTCGTTCGTGTCGTAGTATGCTTGACTTGACGACCACATCTTGTCAAGACGGTCGGATCGATTCCTGCCGCCATAATACTTACTTTCGCTTAACAAGGACCGCGACA